CTTGAACCTCAAGAGGTGAGTCTTAATGACTTATTTTTCACCCCTCTTGGGGAATGTATTGAGAATATAGGTTTTAAAGGTATTATAGCCCAAGAAAGCCATATGGACATTCCTTTGATGAGTACTCAAGTGACACACATTCAAAGTAATATCTATGAAACACTTGAGATAGGTAAATCACTTCCATCTCTTTTATCATGCGATTACGTGACTTTTGTCATAAAGTCACCTTTTAATGATCCACCACAACTTAAAATGGTGGATTACTCATTAACAAAGTCTCCTTGAAAAATGAGGTAAAATAGTCAAGCCAACGACTATAAACAAAAGCGCTTGTTGGGAGACAACCCAATGTTTTTGTTATTTATGTTAATTCTATGTGATTTTATATTTAAATTATGTGGTTTATACCTAGAGTTATGGATGAACTTTCTATATTTTGTTTGTCATATTCATTTAGTTATTTGATGATATTATTTCAAGCAAGTTATTTATCACTTTTGCTTATCTAATCTTAATTAACTAGCCATTAATTGCGATAATCTTAAAGTGTTAAGTTTAAAATGAGAATTGGAATTTGACATTACTTCAAGGAAGTGCTGAATCTAGGGGTATATTCACGAGAGTAGAGATGTACCTTTGTGGCTTTAGTGACTTATTCCATGTAATTTCATAAAAGAAATGAGATTGTAGTTAATTTCATAATCATAAGAGTAGGCATGGCTTAGCAACAAGTATAGTTAATTCACTACGAGCGTATGTTTCACATACATTAGGAAATTATGTCATAATTAACCAAGATAAAAACATTCAATTAACCGATAATTTCACTTCCAAGAGTAATGAGGAATTTCATAACTCTAGGAGTTTTTTATTGTTATTTTTATTATTTTATTTCATATTTGTAGTGTAGATTTAATTTCTTACATTTGTGATTGTCTAAATAATGAAGGAGTCCGAAAACCATTGATAATCGACAATTTTTTCTGTGGAATCGACACCTAATACCCCTATATTTGATAAATGATTTATATACTTGCAGAAAACGGAGTATTTTGGTTTTATTAAAATTTGATACCTGATAGAGTCTCGTCAATTATACAATAAACCCTAAAAAACCCACATGGTCCTAATGCCTTTCTTTGCATACTAGAACATGCGCAGTATTAAGATTTACTAAAGTTATAGGCAAGGACGGAGCCATGTTGTTCCAAGTGGGGTCAAATGACCCCATTTAAAATTTAAAATTACAGATATATATATTATACATGATGCTCTTGGTTGACCCCTACAAAAAATAGATTTTGGGGTCAAAAATTTAATTAACAAATTTAAAGGACTAAAACATTAAAATAACAATTCCAAAGTGGATGGCTTGTCCGGCAGAAAAGTCTTGGAAACTCAAAAGTTAAGAATCCAAGTACATGTACTACCTTGCCTTTTTCTTCTTGTCTCATCCTATTTTAGATCTCTTTTGTTCTTTTTAGATGAAATCTCATTTGCAGACAACGGTGGTAAAAGCGATCTACTTAAGATGCAAAAGAACCGTTTACTTTTCTTATGATTAAACAAACTCGAGAGGCTAACTAACGATATTCTTTTACTTTTCTTATCGTCAATTCTTTTAATGGGTGTGGATCATGGAGTTGGTGAGGCATTATTTGATTGGGACCCATAAACGATCCGAAAAAGATTGAATTGGAAATATAATCACAGATGGGTGATAGGAAAGAAGTGGAAAGATAGAATATGGGAGTTCGAAGACTAGCATGAAATTAAAAATTTGAGATGAGTAGCTTTTATTTGCAAGTTAATTCTGGTTTATGTTTGCATTCGCATATTAGTTTCCGATTTGTTATCGAACATGTAGCAAAATATATTATGCTTAGGATAAAAAATCATAACAGGATTATTGGAAGACAGAATTAGCACTAATAAAATTTGGTTTCTAACGTGACTGGATAGACTTGAGCTGATAACGTCCTGACTTGAGCTGATAATATCTTGAGTCTGGTCATTCAATCTGCCGATCTAGATTTAGATGAAGTGAAATTTAAACAAGAAGACTAGTAAACCAACATGATTAATTTGCGTAGAAAACTTGACCATCAGTTGCTTCCGACGACTGCAAGTCCACTGGCCAACAGAAGTCCCGGTCCGCCGTGGAAAATCAAGGTATTCTTGTGGAAAAAATCCCCTTGGAGACATATTCTGCATTCAACTAACGAAAACGTTCATTTCTTTGCCCTTTTTTTTAAAAAAAAAAACAATTTTGGTTGAGTTCATCCCTGGTTCACTTCCTTTTATATGATTGCGTTATTTTTTCCTTTTTTGTGTAAATCTTTTTTTTTGGTATTTACTTTTTCAATTAGATATTGTAAAACTATTTGTCTATTTGATTAAATATGGATTTGTTTATCAATTTTAGGGATGGCTAGATTGAATTTTGACTAAGGATCATTGGACATATTAGAATATGAGTTAGAATTTGATTAATTTAGACATGGATTAGGAGCAATAAAGTAATCAACAAGTAGTGTTTGCTTTCATTATTATAATTTACAATCTCTTTCAAGTAGAATAGAATATTGAAAATTCTTCTAAATTATGGATTTTGACTATTATTATATGCATTAGCAGGTACATATTGGACCTCAAAAGTGAAGCTTAAATTAGCTTTATTCATATTTTTTTTCATTTTTTTAAATGGGCAATATATTTGTACTCAACCCCTCAACCTTTATATGTTGAATTAGATGCTGAAATTCATGTTATAATACTAAATTAAGTTTTTTTTTATAATTTTTATTGATAATAGGTTATGGATAAATTTCTTAAAAGGAAACCTATAGAAGATCGAGTTGCTAGTGGTTCGCAAAATATTTTTAAAAAATCAAGAGCTCCAGCTAATTTGGCTGATCTTCCTTCAGATCTGGGTTTACATATTAACATTTCTGAATATAACCCAATTGATCAAGATAAAGTACGAAGAGCATATTTATTGAAAGGGCCTTGTCAACCTCGTCATCATAACTTTCCAACAAAAAGAATTGGAAATGTATCTTGTCGATTTTGTCCTACTTGGTTTAATGAATATGGAAATTGGTTGGAATACAGCATAAGTAAGGATGCTATTTTTTGCTTATGTTGTTATTTATTCCCACATAATTTTGGAAAAGGGAAGAGGAGATTCTTTTACTGCTGGAGGTTTCAATAGTTGGAATAAGAAAGATAGACTGGCTATACATGTTGGACCTCCAAATAGTGCGCACAACTACGCTTGACAAAAATGTATAGCATTGTTGAAGCAAAATCAACACATTGAAGTTGCTTTATCTAAACAATCTAATCAAGTTCGAAGTAGACAAGATTGACCACATCAGTAGATTGTATTTGATTTCTTTTGTCTCAAAGATTAGCATTTCGTGGTCATGATGAATCCTAGAGTTCATCTAATTAAGGCGATTTTCTTGAATTGTTGAAGTTTCTTACTAACCACAATGAAGAAGTAAACGATGTGGTCTTACAAAATGCTCCAGAAAATAATCAATACTTCTCCGGATATTCAGAAAGACATTGTGAATGCTATTACTACTAAGATCACTAATGCTATCATAAACGAGCTTGGAGATTAATTCTTTTATAATATTAATCTCACTCGATCACTAATGTAATTTTGTGTGTGTCGCACGTGCAAAAGAGTGATTGCAAACAAAAAAAAAAGATTATTTTTGTTCACATAGAAGTGAAATAGTTTGGCAACCTAATTCTCAATTTTCCCACCACAAAAAGAAAAGAAAAAACTACAGCCCAGAAAATGGGTGGTAGAAGAAGCTAATTGTGAAGTGAGAAAAAGAATGGGAAAAAATATAAATCGGGCAAGGTAAGAAATTTGACATTTTTTAACTGCCACAGTTGATGTGGCTTAACAAAGGGGGAAAAGTACAAGAAAAAAAGAGAGAAGAAGATAACATTAGAGTTGAAAGAGCAGATCTCACCAAACGGGAGGTATGTATTTGACCCTACAATTTTTGACAATATAAAAAAAAAAAAGGTTAATCCCAATAAACCTCTTCCAAAAATGCTTTTTCCTCACACCAATCAACCACCTATAATAGTACTGTATAATATTCCTAATTAGGTGCAATCAAGTTGGACAACTCAAATTGCGGCTGCTTTAGCCATACGTGAACTTCACAGGATTCTGTGAAGTGACCAAGCTATTCCCACAAAAATCAATAATTGACATGGCCAGAGAAATAAATAAATGAAGTAATCTAAATGTGACATGAATTTTAACAATATGCATGAATCATTTAATTGATTTATCAAAGACTCGCGCAACAAATCCATTATCGCAATGCTTGAAGTAATAAGAAAACAATTGATGCAATTTTTTGGGTTGTCGAGCAAGCAGCTAGCGAGGTCACTTCATATATTGTTAGGTTATTCTTTCACTAAAAAAAAAAAAAGGCAAATTAGTTATTTTATTTACATAATTTTCTACCCATGTCAATTACTAATCCTTATGAGGATAGTTTGGTCCCTTCACAGAATCGAATGAGGTGCACATGACTAAATCGACCACAAATTAGATTGCGTGAGGGTGGATTGGTACTACTCAACCTTCATGGGATCAAGTTGTGGAAAAAGAATGTAATTTTTTGAGGGTGTTTATTGGAATTTGCGCTATAAAAAATCTGGAAAAGTTCAAAATATTCGATGGACTTCACATGATTTGCCCAAATAAAACCCAGTGTTGAACGATTGGACTAGTAAATAGAGACACAATTTGGGACGATTATTAAAGCACTAGTTTCTACCCTTGTTTTGCAATTATATGTCACATGATATACTCCTTGCGATAGTTGTCATTCTCCAATCTTCGCTACCGTCAAAATCAATTAACGACTTGGAATTTTCACTTCCAAGTCAACTGTTGGCTGCAGAATAGTCAACTTGCTGTAGTCTTCCCCCACGTTTTCCACTTTTCCTGGCTCAAAGAATTTTCATCCCTCATAATTTTCTTACAATTTTTTAACAATATGCATGAATCTTTTCGTGGCTCAAAGAACTTCCAAGCCCTGCTATGGTCAAGTATTTCTTACAATTTTTTAACTTCCTAATTAGCAACTATTTATAAGGTTACATCAGTTTCAATATATTATTCCCCTATTTTGTTGTAGAAGTGGTTCAATATTAGCTTTCTTGATTCCCAATTACTGGATGTACTTGAAGATTGACATTGGAATCTTTGCATTCTACTTAAGCTTGTCTTTTGCAACCTTATTGTCAGGTGGAGCTATTGCTGGGATATCTCTTGCAGTGCTTGGAGTGTTGTTTTTTGCAGCTTGCTTGTACCTTGTGTTTGACAGAAAGAGGAAGGCACACAAAATATCACCCAAAGATCAATTCAACCGAGCTGCTTCTGGTAGTTCTCTCTCTCTAAGATTATATATTTTCCTTGGTTTTGGACACACATATTTAATATGATTGTTGAGCTCTACATTTGCAGATTTAGGATGCTTTTTGAAATTATTGATGTATTTGTGATTGATTCTGATGGTGCCCTCTGGAAGTTGCTCATGGAAGTATGAAGGGTAGCTTTGGACCTATTTCAACCTTGATTTCCCCAAATAAAAAATAAGCTAATTGGCAGTATTTGGAATTTTTATGTTTTGAGTTGTTAGTTAATATTTGTGCAGTGCTAACCATGAGCTAGTACTTATACCCCAAACATGAAGTAGAAGCAGAGGAATTTTTCGTGATTTGAAACCAAGGGAAGAGAATTTGCCTATGAAGGCCTATAGAGGAACATCTGTTGTTGTTGCAACAAAAGTTTGCACTCACCTTAGTGGAACATATTAGAATAGCAAGATTGCAGTAAAAGAGGGGAATGCTAATATTTTATACGGTTCTGATTTAATTCAAGGAGATAGTGGCATGTTGGTTATGAACCTCAGACCTGATAGCATACGGTTACCTCTGTGCTCCATTGAGTGGAAATATAACCATTAAGATCTTTGATGAGCTATACTTTCTGAGGGCCAATAGGCTTAAATAATAGTTCAGATTCAATCCATCTGTCTCTCTCTTGACCTAAATGTTGGAAGGCATTGAGATCATGTTTAAAGTGCATCATTCAGATCACAGGGGTTGAGGTTTGGAAATCATCTTCCGAAGTGTTCTTTGAGTAGCTATTGAGAGTTCAAAATTATGTTGACTCTGCAAAATGGATGTGGTTGTCGTTTGATGGTAAATCTTATTTTTCTCTAAATTAGAAAGATCACGCTGTCCTGATTCCTGAAGTGTTTTAGGCTCGAATCCATATAGGCGTGCTTAACAACTCTCATGAAATTTTTTTTTTGGGGAAAAAAAACTATTTTATTGATATGCAATTCAACTGTACAATGGAGAAAGAACTCCCACACATCTGAGATACTCCAGTGATCAACACTATACACAAGTTTGTCTATCTATAGCTACTACTGTAACTATTACATCAGACACTCCATTCACAACTGCCAATTCTCTCGAGTTCGAGGAGTTTTAGATCATGAAACAACCACCATTGGGCCCCTCTAGTGATAGCTCTAAGAACTTGTCCAGTGCTTGCAGCAACATGTTGGAAGATCCTTCTATTCCTTTCCTGCCAAAGATGCCATACAGTGACAACTAAAGACAGTCTTCTGATCTTTAGCAGCAAAGGAGTCTGAACCACTATGATGACACCACCAATCTAATTCTTGTTCCCAGGACAAGGACCCCTTATATAGCAAGCACAATCTTGGCACTTTGTCCCACACACGCCCGGAGAAGGAACACTTGAAAAATAGATGTTTAACAGATTCATCCTCTTGATCACAAACACATATCTAGGAAGTATATCAGTCACACTCACACCCCACTTGATAAGCCTATCTTTAGTCATCAACTTTTTCTGTATCATCAACCACAGAATAAAGGCATACTTGGGAACAAAACCTTTTCCCCAAATTAATGAATGCCATTTCACTTTTCTATCTAAAGTTTCTTCAAAGCAGATTTAACAGAAAAGACACCTGAACCACATGCAATCCGCTTCAGAAAAGAATAGTGACTCTCATGATATGTTAGTGTTCTTAAACTCCACCAAATGAACTTAATTACTATTAGAAGTGTTATGGTAATGGAAACGTTGAGAAATGAGAAACTGATTGTAAAACGAGGGTAAATGCCCTGAAGATTATTCCATCATTATTGTTTTTCTCTTGGAATTAATGAAGTAAACTAAAGTCAAACTCTGCAAGATGATAACATAGTTCTTATAATTATTCTATCAAACTATCTCAAGTAGAGAGATTACTACTCTGGGCTTCTATGATTTAATCTGCTAAAGCCAGAAGTCATTCTAGCCAAACTGTGGAGCTTGCAACCATGATGGAGCTTCGTAGTCTGTCCTCAGAGACCTCGCATGGATGTTGTGTAATTTGTTACAGCTTTTATTTCTTTTTTTTCCATTTGCATGTCACGATCCTGGATTGAATGGGGCCAGACAGTTTTGGCAACTGTTATCTGATGCAAGTGACATCTAATTTTCTTTTTGAGGTCAGGATGATATATCGTAGTTATATCTTATATTTTATTCCCATGATAAGATATTCATTCTTCTGAATTAGTTTCAATATTCTTTTACATTTGCTACATAAAAATCGGGAGCATGTAATTCTTATTATTTAAATTCAACAGAGTGAAATGTGTACACTTATTGAATTATGTTCACTAATTCAGAAGCATGTGCGTATTTTTATTGTTTCTTTCCTGCACAACATTCCCTCTTTGCTGGTTGTATGACTCCATTGATCCTCTTCTTCTCTTCATTGGTTGAAACCCTGAAGATACTGCAGCTAAAGCTCCAGAGTCTATTGATGTTGCTAAAAGGGCTTCTCCAAGCCTTGCTGGAGTAGTTGTTGAGAGATCTTTTGAGTTCTGGTATGAAGAGCTTGCAATAGCTACTAAAGATTTCAGTTTGGCTAATAAGATAGGCGAAGGCGGCTTTGGCTCTGTTTATTATGCTGAGCTTAGGGGCGAGGTTTGTTGAGCTCTTTCTCTATAAAGCAGCATAAGGAAAGATGAAATTGTTTGCACACATTCTTGTTCTTTCTTAGTTAAGTTCCTTGGTTACTGAATCAGAGTAAGATTTTCACTTGACCTTGAATGGTAAGCTGTATGGGGAATGAGCCGCCTTGAATTTGGCAAATGATGGGTGGACAGGTTCCCTTGAAGCTCCCCTGGAGGATAATCTGGTTATGTTCATTTGACTTCCCCATAAACTCAAGTTGATTATATAAAAAGAAAAAAAAAAGGGTAGAGTATGAAATCAAATTTTTTTTTCGCACCAGTTTGCTTTTTTATTTTTATTTTTTGCAATTATTTTTTCTTTACCTTCAAATTTTTTCTTATCATGTACACAGGACAGTAGAAGTCAGACCCGTGCAAACCACTCTATCTCTAAAATACTTATGGTGGAGCTTTTGATTCCTTGACATGAACTTTTGTTTATTTAAAGAATTCAGGATTTCTTTCTCATACACATCTTTTTAGAAGACAGGCTGAAATCCTATCTCCTTGACCTCCAACTGAAAGGGCTAGCTTCTTTTCTATCAGCCACATCATGCTGAATTTAGTGATGCTCTATTTCCCTAAAATTCACACCCACAGCCCTAGTTGTTACAATATTTCTTTTGTTCATTTTTCATGAAATGGCACTCAGTTCATATCTTCTAGTTTGACAATTGACAAGCTTTAAAGAAAGGTCGTGTGGTAGTGATCACTGGTCAATGATGATCAGTGACAATTTCTAACATGGAATCAGCATTTGCTAGCAGATGCCTTATGAGTTGCCCTATCCACCATTAGCATAAATAATTAGGGATAAAACACCATTGTGTCCCTTGGTTTTCCTGTTAGTTTTAAGCCTTGCAAGATTGGAAAACACCACATACTAGGGGCATGATTTTTGTCCAAACAATCAACGAAGGGCAAACACTTGATTACAATCTCTCTCTCTCTCTCTCTCTCTCTTTATTTTTCCCATTTTCTCAATCTTCTCTAAATAGTTGCCGGTAGGAAAGGAGGGAAAAATGGAACGAGAACAGTAATTGAGTGACTAGATGGAAGGAGGCCTAGGATGGCGTGGAGTTGAGATGTGGGGAAGTGGGGAAAGTGGTGGCTTGGTGATATGGTTCCAGCCACTCGCTGGTGGATGTGGAGTAGTGATCTGTTGGAGGCAGGAGATTAGTGTGGGAATGGAGTTCACCAGGCTTTGGGTTGTTTTTATTTGTGACACTTTTCTAGTGTGTTGTTTATTCAGTTCTACAGAGTTGGGGATGGCACTGGGGGAGCAACCAGATTTTTTTTTTCCTTGGAATCGGACAATTGGTAGGGAGGAGGGGAGGTAGTCGGCGGATCACGTAGGGTGGAGGAGAGCACACCATAAATAGGAATGATCCGCGAAGCAAGAATCAAGGATAGACTAGCTTATAGGAATGTTACCGTTGCGATAAGAAAAAAAATAAAGAAAGAATGTTAGAGTTTAAACTGGTAATATGAGCACCATGAAATTCTACTTCAGGACTAAACTTTTTTTTTAAAAAATTTTTCAGGATTGATGTGAACAAGGATCCATGTCTTTTTGTTCATACTTGAGTAGCTTCGTCATGTTATTTAGAGCATTCTCGAATTATATCGAACATGTCTCTGAATTACTGAATTGCTACCCTTTTTCTAACATTTTATTATCAGTGGTACACAATTTAACATCTCATATACCTATTTCTGGTAACCCTTGCCTTATTTTTGTCCATTGTTGTACATGTGCCAAAAAAAAAGTTGGTTTTTTTCTCTTATTTTAGGTTTCTTTATGATAGCTGCATGTATTATATTTTTCCTAACACCCAACTCTGGTGCAGAAAGCAGCAATCAAGAAAATGGACTTGAAAGCAAAAAGAGAATTTGTTGCTGAACTTAGGGTTTTAACACATGTACATCATCAGAACCTGGTAATAAACTATCTTATGCTTCTTGGATGTGTTTTTACTTAGCTGTTGATTTTCTTATTTTTACGTGCAGAAATTATACCACTTTCACTCATGTAGTATTTATTTTAACATCCCGTCTATTCTCGATTTGAAAGATTTCAATACCGCATGTTTTCTCCGCCTTCAGCATTTTCCAGAGACACTGTATTTAAACGCATGCATCTAATGGAATTCTTTTCCATCATGAACTTTAATGAAGAAGGCAAACAATTCTCTGCAAATTCAGTTATGCGCTTATTTTCTGTTAATAAATCATAAGCAGTAGAAGTACTGCTGTGGACTTTAAGCAAATTTTGACCAAGAGTTTTGTGTATTTTCCTAGTCACAATTAGCTCATTCTAACTAGGAAAATACCCACGACTGTTGGTCTAAATGTTTGCTAAATTATACAGCAGTGGTTCTGTTGCTTATGGTTGATATAAACACACATGCAAACAAGAGTGAAAGCAGAAAAAGCTCACGATCACACTTCAATGAGCCTGATGATTTAGTTAATTATTATGATTCGTAGGTTTTCTCTTTATAATTAAACCTAGTATATATCTCTATAATGCTAAGACATCAGACCCTACTGCAGTCCTGCAATCATGGTATTTGAACAAATCTATTCAATGTGTATCCCTTGGTCAACAAATTTAGATTTAACAGAAAACTTTTACATCACAAATTAAAATTATTTTATCCAACCCAAAGATTAAAGCATTTACCACAACTACCTCCTTAAGCTATTTTCTTGATTGTCTTGCATTCAATCTGCAATGCAATTCGCCTATTATTACCTTCTGGTAGCTATTCTGTTTGGATTACATTAATAATTATAATATTACACATATAATAGTGAGTGCTTAGACAAGCATTATCAACTTTCAGGAAGTTTATTTAGACAAACAACTATACACACAATGTTGCTAAAACTCATTTGGCAGATAAGTTTTTTGTCAAGTTTGTCTGCTACAAATTTTTTAAAAAGTTTAACTACAGTAACCTTAAAAAACTTTCTCAAAGTTTTTAAACTATACACTTTAAAATATTCGAAAAAACACACTTTAAAAATTTTTTTAAAAACTTCTACAGTAAGTTACAGTAAAGTTTTAGACAAACATCAAAAAAACTCATTTGCCAAATGGGGTCGTAGTTTGTTTTGTCTTTAAAATTTTAGTATTATCATATCTTTCTGTTAATAATGGACTTACGAAATTAGAACATTGTTGTAAGGTCATATCTTAGATATGTGTTATTTTTTATTTGTCTTTTCAATATAAGCTGATACTATTGGTGCTTTTGGCATTTAATACTAATCATTTGTGAGAAAAATAGGTGCGCTTAATTGGATATTGTGTGAAGGGTTCCCTTTTTCTTGTATATGAGTACATTGACAATGGAAACTTGAGCCAGCATCTTCGAGGATCAGGTAAGCTAGCAATTCGTATTTGAAGTCATAATCATTGTTTAAAGATAGTTGCCACCATTCTAGCTAATTCTGACGCGCTGTTTGTTATGCAAGAATTCCCATGGACTTGTTAAGTAGGCTGCATGTTGGCTTTGTGTTTCTCCTATTTTCATACTTACACCTCCTTACTTGCACTATTTTTCTATGGGGTAGCAAAACCCCAAGGTAGGCCTTTGCAAAGTCTATCGCATTAAAGTTACTAGCATATTCTGCCTTTATTCGTATTGCCGCATTTCATTGTGGTTGATGAATTCTTTATGAGCTGGATTTGTACTCAAATTAGTACCTACATCTTAAGATAGAAGTAAGATGTTTTAGGTGTTTAGTGTTTCTTACTGACAAAATTGACGTGCGCGGAGTATACATATACAATTAAACTCATCCTAATCAAGTTTTACATTTATAAACTCCTAAATACCCCACACGCGATTTATCGCAAGTATACGAATCGTGAGCGAGTATAGGGTATTAAGGGTCGATCCCACAAGGAAGATTGCAATTACCGGTACTACTAAAGCTTCTCTATTATTTAGACTATCAATGAATTATAACAAATTTAACCTATTGAAATTATACAAAATGACAAATGAAAGCTCCTTGGGTTGTGGTATCCCTAACTACTCAAGCAAGTGCTATATTTGGATCATTAATTACTACATCTAGGCTAGTTATGGTGTAATTTCCTTATGCATTTGAATCCCACTTTCGTAGTGAATCAATTATACTCATAACTAATCCATACCTATTCTCATGGTTATGAAATTAGCTACAAGTTCATTTCTTCAATGAAATTACATGAAATGAATCACTAAAAACCACATAGATGCACCTCTACTTTCGTGAGTGTACTCCCTATGTTTAGCACTTCTTGAACTAGTGTTAAATCTCAATTTCCATTACAGAAACAACACCTTAGATAATCACAATCAATGGTACCAGATTAATCATGATTTAAAGAGCCAAAGTGCTAAATAACTTGCTCAAATCATAGCAGTCAAATAACCAAATAATAAACACTAACAATTATAGAAAGTTCAACCAAACCCAAGGTATAAACTTTAGAAATACATATTAAACACAAAATCCAGAACTTGTATATTAACTAAACTTGGAATCAAATACAAAAGATAAAGAATTTGGAAGGAATACAACCCTTGTCACATGAGCTTTCTTCCTTGCCTTCTTCATCCTCCATCTTCATCCTAATCTAGATAATAAACAAGAATGGAAAAGCTACACTACTCTATACTAAGCTAAACTAACACTAGGGAGATGAAAGAGCTACATTTCTGCAACTTCAAGCTTCTCCCGTATGTCTCTCTATTTTCTGCTATGAACTCCCCAATCCCCTATCTCCATTTTTCTCTTTTCTTCAATGAATTTGGCTATTTAATGATGAAAGGTGGTCAAGAAATGAAGCTTTACACTTTCTCCTTACAGCTGGTAATGTTTCTCACATGTCTAGCATCCCATGTGAGTTGGTGGAGGTGAAATTGAGTTTTCCGCGTAAAAAGCAGCCTTCTCTGACCACAATCCGGCCAGGAATCCGGCCACAAATCCGGCCAAATTCCGGCCGGATTGCTACAGTAAATCTGGGCTGCTACAGTGATCCGAGCTGCTACAGTACCTCGGATCCGTATGGATCCGAGCTCGGATCCACTAACCCAGAAACAGCCGAGGGTTCGGATGAATAGTGGATCCGAGTGTGGATCACTTGCTCTGTTTTTGGCCCAACTTCAACCGATCTTTTCTTGATGTTAGAGGCTGAACCAGCTCATGTCTAAAACACGAAAGTTGTAGCCTTTTGCGTTATCTTTCCAATGCATCAAGAATCACCTCATTTGGATCTGTGTAGGCTGAGATATGATGAAATACCCTTGCCTGCTCCATGCCTTGTTCCAGTTTCGACCAATAGCAATTGACTCTGTACTTCGGCTTTTTGACCTGGAAAACCTTCAAACTGGATTCAGATGTCTTCACCAAAGTTGTAGATCTATCTCTTATCTTCAAATGGGTTCAAGAATCATCCCAATCCGATCATTGTAGCTCAAGTTATAGCCGAAATACGAAAATGTGTCAAAACTGTCAAAATACACAAAATCCAAGTAAAAAGTGATAAAAAGCTCATTTAATTGAACAAAAGCATTTTATACCAATTATAGCCAAAATGAATCATTTTCTTCCAATAATATAACAAAAGTGACTAAAAATAATATAAAATATCATACAATTATTACGTAAATTAGTCACTTATCAAACTCCCCCACACTTAAATCATTGCTTGTCCTCAAGCAATTCACACATAATCAAATGCAATGATTCAAGAGGTGAAACAATATATGCACTTTGTCCAATTTAATTCCTCAAGACTTGGAAAATAATTATTGTATAATTATTCAATTTACACTAAATACTCATAATATCAAGTAAAGGAAAGATAATTATACCCTAAATTCAACAAGTTAAACTTAATCTCTTATCCTAACCTAATTTCACAAATAAGCAACCCACATAGTCGATTTATAGCCTTCCTCCTCCTATAATCATCCTTTTCTCAAAATTTTACATCTAAGAGGGATTTATTCATACTAATTTTACTTAATTAGTGAGAATGCCTTTTTACGCGAAAATCGACACTTTTAGGTGAAGATTCCCGGTTACTCAACATTTCACTTATTCAAGTTGCAATGCATATTCTTAATTCAAGTACCTTTTTACGCGAAAATCGACATTTGTAGATGCCAACCCCCGGTTACTCGGTACAAAAATCATTGGAGTAGAATAATTTTTTCTTTCTTTTCTTTTCTTTTTTTTTTTAAACTAAAGGACAATAAATAGATATTCCCTCTTAGAAAATATATAAGACTAATCAAAGGAGGAGTATAACCTTTTATCAACTATGTCAATCACTTACTTGCAAAATTAAGTAAAGAGAAGAAATCTCATTAAACATGTAAAATTATAGGCATAATTTTCCTCACTTTACCAAATATACTTTCTAAAATGTAAAAATTCTAATTGCATAATAACTATTTCCAAGTTAAATGAGGACTAAACCTTCCAAAATACACATAAAGTTTCAACAATTGGAAGAATAAAAACATTTAAAGTTGGAACAAATTAGCCCTTTTTGAATGAAAATGCAAAAATTTGAAGAACTTTTGGGCCATAGTGACATATTGGACAAGATGTTAGACAAATTTTGACGGAGTTTCCCCATATAAATGGAAGAAAACTCCCTGCCAACAAACCCAATTTCAGGCAAATTATCCACATGGCAAATAATTCAAACACAATTCCAATATTTCTAAGCATTTAAATCCACAAAATATCATCACATAGCATTAGAATGTAAGTTCACATATTTCCTCCCCCACACTTAAACTTCACATTGTCCTCAATGTGAGAAAAGGAAAATAAAGAAAGAGTAAAAGAAAATACTCCCCTTATGACTTGCGCAATCCGAATCCATGTCCAAGTGATGAATTTCCAACTTTACTTGAAAGAATGGAGACTTCAATTAATGCACCTCATTTGGTCACTTTTGCATCTTTTTCCAAAACCTACAAATGAAAAATAACAAAATAACTCAAACTTATACTTTAAACATAAAATCACTCCAAAGTAACACCAACTTAAACAAGCATTGGGTTGCCTCCCAATAAGCGCTTCTTTAAAGTCAATAGCTTGACTATTTCTCCTCATTTTTCAAGGAGGTTTAGTTAACGAATAATCCACCATTTTAGGCCTTGGTGGATCATTGTAAGGTGACTTAATAGAAAAAACCACATGATCTAATGATGTGAGAGATGGAAGTGACTTACATATTCCAAGTGTTTCATAGATATTACCTTGAATATGCACCACTTGAGAACTTACCAAAGGAAATGTCATGAGAGTATCTTGAGCAGGAATACCTTTAGAACCTATACTTTCAATGCACTCCTCAAGAGGGGTGAAAAATGAGTCATTAAAACTCACCTCTTGAGGCTCAAAGTTAGTTCCAAAGATATTATCATGTGAAATGGACATTTGCTCATTGAAACACAATTGAGATTCATCATTTTCATCAAAATGCAACCCATTTTCACATACAACATTCCCACCATTCATGCTAGGATCATTTTGCAAATTATTAGAAGAAATAACTTCACACAATGCACTCAATTGCTCATGTATATCACCAAAGTGAGAAGCTAATTCATCTAACCTTTCCTCAATCCTATCAAAACGGTCGGAGGTTGCATTTGCTAGCTTTTCTGTGGCTAAATCAAATTGATTAGAAAAATTTTCTACAGCTAGCTCCCAAGATGCATTAGAATCATTAGCTAATGGTTCATTTTCTAACTCCCAAGGTAGAGGTGCATTAGCTAACTTCTCTATTGCCAACTCCCAAGATGGTTTTGATTCATATTGGACACATTCAGGTTGGTAATCGTAAAAATATGAAGAATTATTATAAGTACATTGATTATCCCAACCATAAGCAGGAGAATTGCTCCAATTAGCACTATATTGATCAAAACAAGGATTGTAATGCTCTAATTCATAATAATAATCCACATTTTGTGCTTGCATACATGTATTAGTAGCATGATAACCTCCACACAAGTCACAAATCACATGATAAGAATTAAAAACATTAACATTCCTCCTCTGCTCAATTTCATGCATCATGGTGTCCATTTGAACTTGTAACTTAATTACATCAAATTTTGCCTTTAAGCACCTTAAACCATCTTCAAAAGACATACATTCAGTAAATTCTTGGTTACCTCTATTAAAGGAGCTTTGCACTTGGTAACCATCCATTACCAATCTTCCATTTCTCAAGCATTGTCCTCCAAATTGACCTACGCTTCTCATCACCTAAAATTGCTTTTAAACAACTTAAGAGCAAGATTAGTAAGAAGAATAAGTTATAAAACACATACACATAAAAACACTAAAATAACAGAAAATAACATTCACACTATAACTAATAAAATGTCTAAACTAATAAAGTTGTTCTTCACACCGATATTGCCAAATCTTCCCCGGCAACGGCGCCAAAAACTTGACGTGCGCGGAGTATACATATACAATTAAACTCATCCTAATCAAGTTTTACATTTATAAACTCCTAAATACCCCACACGCGATTTATCGCAAGTATACGAATCGTGAGCGAGTATAGGGTATTAAGGGTCGATGCCGCACAAGGAAGAATTGCAATACCGGGTAACCTACTAAAGCTTCTGCCTATTAATTTGACTATCAATGAATTAATAACAAATTTAAACCTATTGACAATTATACAAAAATGAGCGAAATGAAAGCTCCTTGGGTGCTAGGTAGGTCCTCCTAACTACTCAAGCAAGTGGCTAATATTTGGATCATTAATTGCTACATCTAGGGCTAGTATTATGGTGTAATTTCGCTTATGCATTTGAATCCCACTTTCGTAGTGAATCAATTATACTCATAACTAATCCATACCTATTCTCATGGTTATGAAATTAGCTACAAGTTCATTTCTTCAATGAAATTACATGAAATGAATCACTAAAAACCACATAGATGCACCTCTACTTTCGTGAGTGTACTCCCTATGTTTAGCACTTCTTGAACTAGTGTTAAATCTCAATTTCCATTACAGAAACAACACCTTAGATAATCACAATCAATGGTACCAGATTAATCATGATTTAAAGAGCCAAAGTGCTAAATAACTTGCTCAAATCATAGCAGTCAAATAACCAAATAATAAACACTAACAATTATAGAAAGGTCAACCAAACCCAAGGTATAAACTTTAGAAATACATATTAAACACAAAATCCAGAACTTGTATATTAACTAAACTTGGAATCAAATACAAAAGATAAAGAATTTGGAAGGAATACAACCCTTGTCACATGAGCTTTCTTCCTTGCCTTCTTCATCCTCCATCTTCATCCTAATCTAGATAATAAACAAGAATGGAAAAGCTACACTACTCTATACTAAGCTAAACTAACACTAGGGAGATGAAAGAGCTACATTTCTGCAGACTCCAAGCTTCTCCCGTATGTCTCTCTATCTCTTACTCTATCATCCTTTTTTTTGCAATGAATTTCGCTCTTTTATGATGAAAGGTGGTCAAGAAATGAGGATTACATCTCCCTTTTACAGCTGGGAATGTTTCTCACATGTATAGCATCACATGTGAGTTGGTGGAGGTGAAATTGAGTTTTCCGCGTAAAAAGCAGCCTTCTCTGACCACAATCCGGCCAGGAATCCGGCCACAAATCCGGCCAAATTCAGGCCGGATTGCTACAGTAAATCTGGGCTGCTACAGTGATCCGAGCTGCTACAGTACCTCGGATCCGTATGGATCCGAGCTCGGATCCACTAACCCAGAAACAGCCGAGGGTTCGGATGAATAGTGGATCCGAGTGTGGATCACTTGCTCTGTTTTTGGCCCAACTTCAACCGATCTTTTCTTGATGTTAGAGGCTGAACCAGCTCATGTCTAAAACACGAAAGTTGTAGCCTTATGCGTTATCGTTCCAATGCATCAAGAATCACCTCATTTGGATCTGTGTAGGCTGAGATATGATGGAAATACCCTTGCCTGCTCCATGCCTTGTTCCAGTTTCGACCAATAGCCATTGACTCTGTACTTCGGCTTTTTGACCTGGAAAACCTTCAAACTGGATTCAGATGTCTTCACCAAAGTTGTAGATCTATCTCTTATCTTCAAATGGGTTCAAGAATCATCCCAATCCGATCATTGTAGCTCAAGTTATAGACGAAATACGAAAATGTGTCAAAACTGTCAAAATACACAAAATCCAAGTAAAAAGTGATAAAAACCTCATTTAACCACTTAAAAGCATTTTATACCAATTATAGCCAAAATGAATCATTTTCTTCCAATAATATATCCAAAGTGACTAAAAATAATATAAAATATCATACAATTATTACGTAAATTAGTCACTTATCAAAAATCACCTTTTCTTTTTCATACTATGGCTATATAAGTAAAGTTTGGCAGGAGCAGAATATGTCAATTAGCTAGACAACAAGAGTGTATTTGGTATGGTGCCAAATGGTTGTTGTCAATACACAGCACAACCTAATAAACATAAGAAATTAAACGAGTTTCAAAATCAAAGCATGAGGACCAACATGGAACTGACACAAAAACCTAGGGACCACTAATGTCAATCTATAGTTATTATTCTACATCTTTATAAATCATTCAGTTCCTTTTACCCGTCCATCTTGTTACTCACAATTTTTGGAACATATCATCAGTTTTTTATTTTTCTAGCATTCCATATTGGAATCACAAGTTTGAAGCATGGTTGTGCAGAGACAGTAATTCTTCTTAGCAGTGTGAGTGTTTCTTAAGATATCTGGATTGTTCTAGGGTGCGACACACTGTCGTGGTCCAGCAGGGTGCAGATTGCAGTGGATTCAGCAAGAGGTCTTGAGTACATTCATGAGCATACTACTCCTGCCTACATCCATCGTGACATTAAATCAGCAAACATTTTGATAGATAAAGATTTTCGTGCCAAGGTAGTATCACCTGGTCCTCGTTGTATGATGAGTCATGTAAGGAATCTCCAAATTTTTGGCTTAAATTGTTTGTTTTGTAGGTTGCAGATTTTGGTTTATCAAAATTGGCTGAGGTCAAAGGTTTATCTTTGCAATCACGTCTTGTGGGCACGTTTGGCTACATGGCACCAGAGTAAGTTTTGATTAGTTAATTTAGTACTACTGTTAACGTAACTATGTCATTGCTATGTCAATATTAGGTTTTGCAAAGAATTTGTAGTGAAATCTGTTACTTAAATGCTTGTAGATAATTTCTTTTTCAAGTTTAAATTCCTTGATACATCAATTTCTAGATAATTTTAACTAAGTTTGGCGTATATTATGCTAGATTGCAAATTGAACTAAATCTATCTCTGGTGTTTCCTTATCTTATGAGTTCCCTTCCTAAGAAGAGTCAGAATTTCAAAGCCTATAGTGAAAAAGGTAACTGTTTGTCTATCCATGGCTTCTCTTGTTTGTTCTACTCTTCCCGGGAATTTCCAGTGCAAAGGAGCTGTGTATTCAAAATTGAGGAGAATGAGTAAGTTTTGACTTCTTTCTTTGTGTTAGTCAATCCCCAAAATGTAGTATCGTTTCAAGGTTTTGTCAGCTCCCAGAGGTGTATACTGTCGGGAAAATCGGGTAATTTTTCACTCAAAATTGCAACTACCAGATGCGTAATAAAAGAGATAAGAAAAGAACGAAATTGATAATGGAGTTTGGTCGAATATGCCTAATCTCCGAGCACCGCCTAAGCAACCTGCTCTTATTAATTTGGGAGAAGAAAGAATACAAAATTTTTTAGTGTGTTACAATTGAGAGAGAAGAGTGTTAATTTATAACTCTCAAACACTCCCCACAAGACTTATCCCACCGATGTGGGACAGAGACTTATGCCAAAAAGTCAACAAATCTCTATCTTGGCAAAATTTCTAGTCCCACCACAAATACAAACCTTCTCACTCAAACAAAATAACAAAGGGTCCTGGCGGTTCTTTCAAATTTGCGCCCTCAGGCGCCAACTCAAATGTACAGGATGTTGACCAAGTCTAAACAATGTTCAAACTTGGATCTTGTAACCACCTTGGTCAGCATATCTGCAGGATTCTCCGTAGTCCGAATCTTCTGGAGAAAAATCTCCTCTTTTTCGAGAATTTCCCGCACAAAATGATAGCGAACATCAATGTGCTTCGTTCTTGCGTGCAAGACCTGGTTTTTCGCTAAGTGAATAGCACTCTGACTGTCACAAAACACGTCAATGTGTTTTTGACCAACTCCCAAATCTTCAAGCAATCCTTAAAGTCAAATTGCCTCCTTCATAGCTTCGGCAATCGCCATATACTCTGCCTCTGTCGTAGATAAAGCCACTGTTGACTGCAATGTAGATTTTCAATTAACTGGCGCCTTGGCAAATGTGAACAAGTAGCCAATCATAGAACGTCGCTTATCCAAGTCACCTGCATAGTCAGAATCACAATATCCAACTACACATTGACCAAGTGATTCATCCTGCTCAAATACTAATCCAACATCTACAGTATCTTGGATATACCGTAGAATCTTTTTCACAACTTGCCAATGACCCTTGCCCGGATCATGCATGAAGCTGTTTACCACACTAACTGCTTGTGAAATGTCGGGTCTCGTACACACCATTGCATACATCAAACTGCTCGATCTTCATCCGTATTTGGAGATAATAGACTGCTAAATTTCAAATGAGGAGCAAGCGGAGTGCTTACAAGTTTTGAATCTCCATTCATACCAAATCGTTGTAGTATCTTCTCCATATACTGGTTCTGTGTGAGACAAATCTTGCCTCTCATTCTATCCCTACTTATCTCCATGCCGAGAATCTTCTTGGATTCTCCCAAATCTTTCATCTCAAATTCTTTACTCAACTGAGTTTTCAATTTATCAATTTCAACTTGGCTCTTTGACGCTATCAACATATCATCAACATATAAGAGTAAGTAGATGTAGGACTCAACTCGTAACTTGCGCAAATACACACAATGGTCGTATTTGTTTATTGTGTACTTCTGGCCCATCATGAACTGATTAAATCGTTTGTACCATTGCCTTGGTGATTGCTTCAATCCGTACAATAATTTGCTCAACTTACAAACCCAATTCTCTTTACCAGCAACTTTGAATCCATCTGATTGAGACATATACATTTCCTCCTTCAAGTCACCGTGAAGGAACGCGATTTTCACATCAAATTGAGCTAGCTCCAAATTCGACTGTGCTACCAAGGCCAACAGGATTCTAATAGAGGAATGTTTAACCACTGGAGAAAATACCTCATGATAATCAACTCCCTCTTTCTGAGCGTAGCCTTTAGCTACCAATCTTGCCTTGTAACGAACATCATTCTTGTCAAGAAATTTTTCTTTCTTTGTAAATACCCATTTACATCCAATTACCTTCTTGCCCTTCGGTAATTGTGTCAACTTCTACGTCTTGTTTTTCTGAAGAGATTGCATCTCTTCTTCCATAGTATCTTTCCATCTATCATTTTTTGTACTTCGAACTGTTTCAGAAAAGGTCGATGGAACATTATCAATAACTGGAAGTGCATAGGCCACCATGTCAGTAAAACGAGCAGGTTTTTGAATTTCTCGTCTTGACCTATTGACGGCAATTGACTCTTGCTATTGTTGAAATTCTTGGGTTGAAATCTCTTCCTCATCTGACTCCCCTTCTACCATGAGAGAGTTACTGATGGTGCTGTTTGCTGGCTCACTATTATTTGCTCAAACTCTACCTGTTTTGGCGTACACTCCACCTGTTACGGAGTACTACTGGTCTCATCTTGTACTACCTTATTCAACATGATAGATTGATCAAAGGTAACATCTCTGCTAATAATGGTTTTCTTTGTTTCTAGACACCACAAACAGTATCCCTTAACTCCAGTATTAAAACCCATAAAGAGAGATTTCTTTGCACGTGGATCCAATTTTGATTCATTTACATGATAATATGCAGTAGAGCCAAAGATATGCAAAGAATCATAGTCTCTTGCAGGTTTTTCAAACCATACTTCTAACAGAGTCTTGCTACCTGTTGCAAATGATGGCAAGCGAATGACGAGATGTTGAGCGTATGTCACAGCTTCAACCCAAAACTTTCTGCCTAACCTAGCATTAGACAGCATGCAACGAACTTTCTCCACTAGTGTCTTGTTCATACGCTCTGACACCCCGTCCTACTGCAGTGTTCTTCTAACTGTGAAGTGCCGAATTATGTCACACTCTTAGCATATCTCCTGAAAATGATCACTCTTGTATTCTCTACCATTGTCTGTTCGGAGAATCTTGATCTTTCTTCCCGTCTGATTTTCAACCTGAGTTTTCCATTTAAGAAAAATCCCTAGCACATCATCCTTATTTTTCATAGTAAACACCAAAACTCTTTTGAAAAAATCATCAACAAAAGTGACAAAATAGTACCTGCCTCCAAGGGATGGAGTCTTGGCAGGTCCCCACACATCTGAATGCACATAATCCAAAATACCCTTGGTATTATGGATGCTAGTGCCAAATTTCACTCTTCTCTGTTTTTCGAGAACACAATGCTTACAAAATTCTAATTTGCAAGTTTTCGTACCTTTCAACAATCCTTTCTTGGCAAGATTTTGCAAGAATTTTCCACCAGCATGTCCCAACCACATTTCTCACAACTTTGTTGCCTCCACATCCTTCTTACTACTGGAAGATGTTGCAGCTGCTGCTGTCCCAACAACCGTACTACCTTGATAGTAATACAAATTATTCTTTCTCACACCTTTTAACATCACAAGTGCTCCCGAAATTGCTTTAAGAATTCTATCTCGTATCATCACAATCAAGCCTTTTGACTCCAAGGCCCCCAAAAAAATGAGATTCTTCTTCAAATTCAGTACATACCGAACATCTTTCAAGATTCTGGTAGATCCATCATGATTACGCAGTTTGATTGAACTTATCCCAGTTGTTTTACATGGATTGTCATTTCCCATGTAAATAACTCCACCATTAAATTCTTTAAATTCAAAGAACCACTCTTGCAACCTGAATCCAAAATCCACTCATCTGGGTGGGATGTTGAAGGTGATACAGCCAAAGAGAAATCTGATTCCATATCACTTTTGTACTCTGCAACATTTATGTCTTGAGGAGCCTTTCTTTTCTTCTTCAACTTTGGACAGTCTTTCTTCCAGTACGATTTCTCATGACAGAAAGCACACTCATCTTTGGCAACTCTGTTTTTCGATTTGGACCTTTCTCTTCTCCCCTTTGATTGGCTTTGCTGACGACCTCTTGCCACTAACGCTTTATCTGCTATAGCTACTTTGTTTTTCATTTTATCCTACTTTCTCAATTCATGACTATACAAAGCAGAACATACAGCATCTAAAGACACATTTTCCTTCCCATGAAGTAACGTAGTCTCCAAATGTTCAAATTCATCAGGAAGGGATGATAACAACATCAAAGCCAAATCTTCATCTTCAAATTTCACATCTAAATTTAACAAGTCTGCTACTAACTGATTAAACATAATGATGTGTTCATTCATAGTAATACCTGGTCGGTAATCGAATTGGAACAACCTTTTCTTCATAAGGAGTTTATTCTGACCATTTTTCTTCAGAAACTTCTCCTCCAATTCTTTCCATAATTTCCATACAGAAGTCTCGTTCTTGAAAACATACTTTTGCTCTCTGGACAAACACGATCGAATAGTTCCGCATGCCAACCGATTTATGGTACTCCACTCCTTCTCTTCTATGTCATCTGGTTTCTTTTCTTCAATAGCAATGTCAAGACCTTGTTGGAAAAGAGAGTCTATGACCTCGCCTTGCCACATGCCGAAATGGCCAGTACCGTCAAATATCTCCACCGCCAGCTTAAAACTTGACATTGGAATCCTCGGTCATGTGGACGAGGAAGCCGATGCTTTGGATTCATTTATCGGTGAATCGTCTAACGCCATTATGGACTTGAATGATAGTATTCAATATAACAAATTACAAACAAGCCAAAGAACGAACCTTCGCCTCTGATACCACTTGTCGGGGAAACCGGGTAATTTTCCACTCAAAATTGCAACTACCAGATGCGTAATAAAAGAGATAAGAAAAGAACGAAATTGATAACGGAGTTCGGTCAAATATGTCTAATCTCCGAGCACCGCCTAAGCAACTTGCTCTTACTAATTTGGGAGAAAAAAGAATATAAAATTTTTTAGTGTGTTACAATTGGAAGGGGAGAGTGTTAATTTATAACTCTCAAGCACTCCCCCCAAGACCTATCCCACCGATGTGGGACAGAGACTTATGCCAAAAAGTCAACATGTACATGTATTCCTTTGGCGCCACTATTTAGGAAGAGAACAAGGCTTGGCTTAAAACTATAAGCTAGTCAGATGAAGACAGTAATGTGCAGTAGTTCTTCTTACATAGTCTCAAACATACAAGTTAATCGCGTGTCATCACATCTGAAGCATTGTGACCTCTTTCCTAGAATTGTCTCTAGGATTATGTAGTAGTTCTTCTTGAACTTAAATTTGAAATTGATTTTCAAACCTTGCATGGATAGGAGCAGAATTTGTTGGATTTGAATTAGCATGATTTAGTAACAACTAGTTACTAATTGATTAATGATAAGCACTTTTGTCAAACAATAAAGAGATATTTGCTACTATCACAATATGAAAGTCATGCCAAATACTTGAAGTAAATGTGCTAAAAATACTTGAAGTAGGAAACTGGTTAAGTGGCTGCTTGGGACTTGGCATAGGTGTTAAGTTTAAATAAATTGTTGGGGTTTGAAATTCACGTATAGGGGTCAGTTAAACTCATTAGCCAAGCTGGAGAAAGTTTTGGCACAAAAGTCTCCTTTTCTTTGGGTTGGTCCCTTGCATTTTTAATACCTCTATTGGCTATTGGATTCTCTATGATGCTTTTCACGTAGAGAAACAATAAGCCCCCCCTTTTTTTTTTCTCTCTAGAGCAAGCCAGTCACTTTTCATGGATGGAATTCTTGCTGGTTTTATGTGATGTACATGGCATGAAGCAATAACAACCTTCATTCTAGTTTTGTGCAGGTATGCCAATTGTGGTACTGTTTCTCCTAAAGTTGATGTCTATGCCTTTGGTGTTATGCTTTATGAACTAATTTCGGCTAAGGCAGCTGTAGTTGATGGAGGCTCTACTACTGATACTAAGGGCCTTGTTGGTTTGGTAAGTTTATATGCATGAGGCAAATTCGATTGCTATATGCACCAAAGTTAGATATTAAAAAAAAAAAAGGAAGATTCTATGCTAAACTACATACGACTTATACGATAAGTACAAATTAAATGATACCTACCTCCTTGACTTGAGAGATTTCCATATTTGTATCCGTAAACTCTTAAGAAATACGGATAGCTTCCAAGACTTTAAATTTACTTGGTGGCTATTTGTTGGCTTGTAAATTCAGTTTCTGAGGACCTAACAATTTTGTTGCTCATATGACAGTTTGAACAAGTTCCAATACTACCGGATTCAAATGATGATCTTCGCAAACTGGTTGACCCAAGACTTGGGGATAATTACCCAATCGAATCAGTCAGCAAGGTAAAAAGTAGTACATGACAACTTAAGCACTTGTCCTCTTGCAACTGTGTCTTTGGTTTCTTAAAGAAAACAATTCGGTTAATTGCAGATGTTTCAGCTAGCCAAACTTTGCACACATAAAAAACCTGAATCAAGGCCGAGCATGAGATCTGTTATCGTTGCATTAATGGCATTATCATCCCCCACAAAGGATTCTAAGATTTTTGTTCCTCATTTAGAAACTGAGATCTTGAAATACGAGTATTCTATGATCAAGTCTATGGAAACTGAAGTTCTGGGATCTGAGACTTTTACAGTTACATCTGTGGAATCTGAGCCTTATACAATAGAAGAAGGAATTGAGGATTAAATGGTAGTTGACGTGAACGATATGTTGTTGCTCAAATTTATTTTTTCATGAAGAAGAAAAATTTTAGAAGTGAAACCAATGACCTAGTTTGGTAAAACAATTGCAAAACAATCCTCACCAGGTCTTGCAACTAATGTCTACAAGATAGAGGTGAGAATGTGCAATCACAATATCAAACTCACATTCATTCATGCCCCCTTTTCCCAGGATGCAAGGGAAATAGATTGGAATTATTATATTCCAATGTGTTAAAGATGGTTCCAAATGAATACTTTATCCATAGAAGCAAGAAATATTTGCAATAATGTTATCATATGTATTGCTATCTCATTAGAAAAGTTATATTCATCAACTATTAGCAAATCTCCTACTCTCTCATAAAATGAAGGTATTTATTTCGTTCTATTTCTTGCCAACAAAATTGATTTTACGAACTTTCATAGATGGTATTTAATTAGGACCATCCTTAAATTATCCGGATTAATGTTTATATTCCCCATTGGCTTAGCTTAGACCATTTTTATTCAATACTTTCTTTTTTAACCAGATTTTTAACTGATTAATTAAGATTATTTTTACAATTTCCAACTAGTTTAATTGCTTAGAATGTTCTTTCTCAGTTGGATGTGATCCTGTTTCCACAATAATTTGGACCAGCATTGAGTCTTGCTCATTTACAGTTCAAGATAACAACCAGATAGAATCTTAAACGTATTGAACAAAATCTTTGTTTGGGTGCTTTTATATTCAGTAGTTTGTATCTAAGATGTTTTAGCATTTAATTCCAATTCACGTTTTGGTAGTATGAGGTTACTATATCAATTGGTTATGTTCGTCCATTCATGCATGGCTAATCATCCTGGATTCTTAAACATTTGCTTTAATTAAGCAAAGCATTACTTCTTCTTTTGTGGATTGTTTTAGTAACAAAAAACACATATTAGTTTAGTACTTTTTCCCTACGCTCATATCATTGAAAGCAATTTGTGCAAGTACTGTCATCAAAGATAATGATGAAGTTTTTATAGAAAGGCTTCTATGCATTAAAAGTATCATAATTCGTGCTGGTACAAGAGTTAAAACTTATAAATAATTTCATGTTAGGAATAGAAAGTGATTTGTGCATTTGCACGAAAAAGAAGAGAACAAGTCATCTTCTGGAGGAAAAGGATATCGATTCTCACTTATTTATTCCATCATGAATTGCTATTAGGTTGTTTCACCCCTGCTAAGATCCCTTTTCTTAGATAATTTTTACATGTTTCACAACTGATTTGGCATCAGAGTTCTCTGATTTTCCATTTAGAAATACTTAAATGCTTCTTGTCTTCAAGCATTGCAAGCGGTCCTCGTCAAGTTTCAATAACATGTGGAACACATGGAAAACTAGAAACAATGAGGTCTTTGTTTTTTGGAAATTAATCATTTATATCTGATTATAAGAATGATAAGAATATTAATGGCCCATTTGGGGCTACGGCAGTTTAGTAAAAAGTACTTCACCAATAGATCTTTAAATAAAAGCACTTATTAAGTGTTTAAGTGAGTTTAAGTATATTGTTTGGATACATAGTTCAATAGTAGTTATTGTATTGGATAATGTATAATTTAAAAAATTTTAAATATATTTATCTCTTTATTTAATTCATAATATAGGATAAAATGATTAAACTTAAAGTTTTATTTTTGTAAAACACAAAAGCTATTTTAAAAGTACTAAATTTGAACTTTTGACTAAAATTCTTTTAACACTAAAAACTCTACTCCTAATTTTACGAGATAGTGTTTACCAAAAGTTTCCAATGTACTTTTACCACCCAAAATTATATTTTTACCAAAAGTACCGCAACCTTAAACAAAGCTTAAGAAAGAAACCATAATATTATGTCTCTAAGGCCTCTATTCATGCCTATAGTACATGCACATTTTTTTTTAGATATAGTGCATACACGTTTGAAGAACATCAAATATTAGATTTAGTTCTCAAGGATGATTATCTACTTTACTTTTTTTTTATACCCTTTTTCCCTTCCCCTAGTCCCTTGCTGCCCCGAACCTAGTAGTAGCCAAGGTTGATCTTTGTCTATCAGACGGAAGTTCAACTCTTTAGCCACTAGTCTCCGCAGCTAGTGGTTAACTAAACTAGAACTTTAGACTAAAAAAAACAATAATTAAGTGATAATTTGGATGCCATTTGAACACAATTGCAAATACGTATAACAAAATGGGAATCGAAAAGTGAAAAGAAATCACGCTATGCTTAACATCAAATTTTGGTGCCCATACGGGATTTTTTTTTTTTTTTTTTGGGGTGCCCATATGGGATTTAAACTCAATCTCTTTTGACTTTACAAATCCAGGAAAAAATAAATGGCATGGGATTTAAACTCAATCTCTTTTTTTTTGCATGTTATTTGACAAGAAATGATGATATTTTATTGTTATTAAATTGGTAAAAAATTCAAATTTATTTCCTTAACATTCACTAAAAGTTGAGTTTAAATATATAATTATTTTCAAATGGATATAAATCAGTGAATCGAGTCAATCCACTATCCATTAATTAAATGGATTTAATTGGGTAGCCAATCAGACCAACCCAATATTAATGGGCGGGTTATTAGTGGGTAGATTTGGATGAGTCAACATAATTGGATTGTGATTGATACTTCTAATTCTATGTGACACAAAATGGAAGATTACTTCATAATCACTAAAGACTATCAGTAAAACGTAGACTTGTAAATTACTCATTAAATTAATTAAGCATGGTTTAATTTTCGAACATGATCAAATTTGATGTATAATAAATGAACTTTGTGATATATATATATATATATATATATATATATATATATATATATACACACATATACTAAATGAACGTGTGTATATTGCTTTTCAACATAGTTAATGCTGGTAGATTGGCTAATCTGTTGTACTAAGTTTTGCCTTTATACAAAAATTAAGAAAAAAAAAATCTGTTCTTCAGTCTCCATTGTCATTTACACAAGGGCATATGATCATATAATCTGTTTGATACTTTATAAACGATTATACAACAACCCTGGGAAGCCCACATGGCCCTAATGTCATTCTTTGCATACCAGAAAATTTCCTATTTTTTATACATAATACATAATAGTTTAGCTTTTGTTATGAATCCCAAACCACATGCATTTGAGTCAAGTGTATATTAGGAGTTGGCATAGGATTATTCAATCCACGCGATTCAACACTAGTGTCATTGTTTTCATATTGTTTGCCTTTGTAAAGCTTCATTAGTTCAAAAGGTAGAAAGGAAAACTAAAAAGCCATTATTGGTTTTGTGGGACAAAAATTTGTAATGTGTTGCCTAAATGTTTCAATTTGAATAGAGTCAATAGACACAATTACTATTTGAATTTCTCCACACTTTAAATTAATGCACCTACCAAACTGTGGAGCTCTTAATAATGCAGAATATAGAATAAAGCCAGGCATAGTAATATCATGGGGACACAACATTAAATTTGTTCAAAGTCACACTCAAATGGAACTAATTGAAATCACATACAAGCAAAAGATGGTTTTCAGACTTGATGTTACTTAGTTGATGAATACATTGGGTTACCCAAGTAGAATGGGTGTCAAACTTTCATGTCATGCTTGGAATTTGAGATTAAAAGATATGGAAAATCAAACCAATTTTGGCAGAATTTCTTCTTCAGTCCAATGTTGGTATCTTTTTACACACTGAGTTGGGTCTTAGAGACACAGTAATTTGCTTCCATATATAATATGGAGGAAAAACGCATATTTTTGAAGTTTACAATGATAAGTGAAATTATCCTCACAATTTAGAGGGACAAATTATGATTAACCCAAAAGTTATAGACAAGAGCAATGCATTATTTTCATTCCTTTTATCATCTGCATTACCAATTCCTTTTTATATTGCTCAATATATGGATTATTGGCAGCAGTTATTGTCATTTTAATTATTCAAATTTGAAAGACGTACCACTTTTTTATATGGATTCCAAGTTATGGAAGTCAATTCGTTAAAATTCAACTTCAAAATAGTCATACTCCATGGCTAGCCTAACAAAGAGGAAACCAATCTTGTCCAAATATGACTTTTTGGATGGAAGGATTTAGAGAAAAAGGAAAAGACTAGAAGGGAACCAATTGAGAATCTTTTATCTTGTTTGGAAATTTTAAGTGTTATGAAACGAAGAGCACAAGCAAGAAGTAAAGATGAAATAATGGTTAAAAACTTTTCTCTCCAAAAGTTAAGACACATGAAGAAAGTGAAATTATTTGTAAAAGTTTCTCAAAATACTAATTTATAATTACATATAAAATGCTGAATAACAAAAATACAATAATGCATCATGAATCCAAAATTATTCTCTTTTGTTCCTAAACTCACTCAAGAATCTTCTCTCCTTTGAATTAGTATAAATATTCAACTGCAAAACGGGAGAAACCATGAGAAATCGGTTGATATCTTGCATGGATGGACGCATTAATCATGGTGAATGGTTTCAAGCTTCATTTCCTTCTTCCTCACTTTCTTTAGGTTTGGCAGCCGTTGATAGAGACCTTTAAGTCCTGCTTTGTTAGTCAACTGCCAATTTCATCCACTACTGCGCCTAGTTTTCTATACCGACGAAGTACACCAAGCAGGCGGCTATGGCTATTTATTCACAATAATTAACCTAAATTTCCACCTATCACTCGAGTTTTGACATATAATGTGCCAGAAACAATTATGGGGCTGCGTCAATTTTCTCATCCAATCAACGTCCAAATCTCACAAATTTCATGGTCAAAGATTCTCGACAAGAAAGGAACATGTGTGTCGTATCGAGAAAGAAATAACACATATATGCATGAAATAGAGATAATATTCCATGATCAGTTTGGTGTAAATGATGCTTGATTTGGACTTAGTTTTGTAGATGTGGGAAAGTGCTTGCCCTAGAAAAAACTCAGATTTTGAAAATTTAACATAAAATGAAGACTTATTTGAAGTAATTATTCTTATCATTAACTCGAACAGTTAAAATTAAATTGGACGTTTTACTTTGTTGAGTGGATAATTTGATCTCAAACATAGACAAAAAACATACAACGATAATAGTTTAAGGGACGTTTAGATATTTCAATCTAAACTATTTTTCGATACGACATTGTTGATGATGTTCCGAAAGATTTTAGCATTTCATATCATCATGACGCCCTTGATTTTGTCACCCTTGAACAAACGCTTGACATAACAAGATATGAATTCCGCTTCAATTTGATTTGCGGTAATTGGCAGAAGAATTGGAAAAAAAATTAAA